TTTGAATGCCAAAACATGCTCATCGCCCCTCTACCGCCCAAAACATGCCCACCGCCCAAAACAAGTTCACCGCCCCCCAGGGGGGCGGTACCGTCCCCGCTGAGAACCAATGCTCTACACCCTTTTGTTTATTGCAGACTACAACACACTAGAAAGCACTTTTCTTAGTTGAATTGAACCATATATATCTGGGTCCATATTTCTACTTCAGCTTTTACCCTTTCAAATAAAACTCAATTGGCACAAAAAACCCTCTGAGAATAATTCTGTATTTCTGCTCACTATTTTGAGTTGTCTTCAATAAAATAGCAAGAGGAATTTTATCAACATTTAGGGATATGCAGAAAATGGGAAATAAGTTTTGTTACAAGCTTACAAACCACTGTGTTCCAGATGTTTTGTCAACCATTTTGGATGAGACAATTTGTCCAAAACAAAATCTGGAATGTTTTACTTGTTTGGGATTTTGTCTGAAACAAAATTTGGAGTGATTTTAGAAGGCAAGTTGAACAAGGCTGCTGTGTATCATTCCCTCTCAATTCTCCTCCACACGGCATGCATGCCAGCTTGTCCGTCCGTCCGTCCATCCATCCCCTTTTCATTCCCTCTTTAGCGTTCTGCCAACACACTGGCCAATGTTTATTCTTTATTGCAATAGTCTCAGCAGTGAGGAGCAGGCTCCCAGAGCAACGTATCCATCACACATGCCCCTTCCCAACCACTCCCTTCTGTTCTGAGCTGCAACCCATGTCATCATCAAGGAAACCTCAGTCTTGGCTTATTCCCTGCTTGCTTTCCCTTTGAGACACTTCTGCCCAGACCACATTCCATTGGAGAGCATTTAATTCTGTATACAGACTAAGATATGTGACATGTATGTGTTTTCATTTGGGCAGATTACCAAAAACTAGCTATTCCGTGTATAGTATGGCTCATACACAGAATCATTTGTACATAATTATTTCTCTACATACAACAGATGTGCAGAAGTTCTGAAAATACATAGCCCCAGGTGATTAATATGAAGATTGACACTGTAGGCCATCTGCATGCTTGATGTAATTAGGGGTGTATGAGATCAGCTTGCAAACAGTCACCCAGATGCTTCTCAGTTAAATGTTTTCTATTTTCTGATTCTATACATTTCATTGCCAAGACAAGCGACTCACACAAATACGCCGATCCACAGTAAAATTACATCTTTGCAGCAGCATTTTTTAACAAAGGAAACTTTTGTGAATCAACTAGAATCCAGAAATCATCATGACTTGAATTAGCATTCACAACTAAGTCATTTTAAGGGCTACAATCTCCAGCTCTATTTCTTCTATTAGAATGCAGAGTTCTCCAACAGATACTGCAGTTTTTGTGCTATCAATTGGATTGAATGGGTCTAAAAAGAATAGCACAACAGGCTCAATGTAAATTAACTGTTAAATCGAACATGGAGTTTTCACCAGTATTTCAAGGTAACTCACAAATGATACTTCAAAATGACTAATACCAATAAATTGCTTTGTTAAAGGGAAAAATTATTTACTCTGCAACTCTGAATTCCCCAACTTGAGTTTACATTTGAAGGAACTGATTGCAATTGTATCAAACATGCTTCTCTTTTCCCTGAAGCTGTGTTAAAATTATTTAATTTTGTATGTATTGTATTACTGGATTAACTTTATTACAGTTCCTGACCAACATCCAACACGTTAAGGACAGATAAAACAAAGTAGTTCACTTCACAATCATTAATGCAATCAAAGAGTATCTGGTTTTACAAACAATACAGCAAAATTTGGCCACATTCATAGAAGTCTTTTGCATCAAATCAGAGAGGAAAGCTAAGCCCAATAGCCAAAGCTTGTCCTCAAACTGCTCAACATTGAAACTATATAAACTCCTTGATTTCATCAATCAGATTTAAAAAATACAGCCAATACCTTTCCTTTATTATCCAAGTAAGTATTATCCAAGCACCTGAAGTTTGTGAAATGAGATTGGTGTTCTCAACATCAGTGCTAATATCCTCCAATAGTGCAATAAAAAGCTTGTGCTGCAAGGAAACAGCCTGAGTAGAATTTATATTTTTGCAGCAAGACCTAGAACAAGTTTAAATTGCATAACCTGAGTGCAGAATACATTCTGATGAATGATACCAAATGAAGTTGGAAAACGTTTACTCTTCCTTGCAATAGAGGGCAATAAACTCTTTAGTGTTGTCCGCCACAGTACTGATAGATGTCAATTTGTGAAAAGGCAAATTTGTTTCCAGAGCACAGCTTTTGAAAGTCTGAAATATATCCTCACCTCTTGTTCTTTCTTTCAAATATATGGATTTGAATAGCTCTTCTTTCACAGAAAGATCACTGAATACCATTTTCACAGTGACTGCCAACTGGGAAATCTGTTATATCTTTGGATTCCTCAAACTGAAGTGAAACCTAAAGACATTTCTGTAAAGCATTTTACAACTGATGTTTGAGATTGTCTCAATTCATCCAGAAATGATGTGATGTTCAAATTGCTGCAATTATTTTCTTTTTATTTGAAAAATAGCAGCCAAAAATGCCTCTTTCAACAGGTTGCCATCCTCAAAAGATTTTTTCCCCTTGGGAAATAGATTTGCAGGTTTAAAAGATGCCACAGTCCTGGCCAAAAGTTTTGAGAATGACACAAAGATTAATTCTCACAAAGTCTGCTGCTCCAGTGTTAGAAGATCTTCGTGCAGATGTTAGGATGGTATACTGAAGTATAAGTACAAGTATTGCATAAGTGTCAAAGGCTTTTATTGACAATTACATTAAGTTTATGCAAAGAGTCAATATTTGCAGTGTTGACCCTTGTTTTTCAAGACCTCGGCAAGCCGCCCTGGCATGCTGGCAATCAACTTCTGG